CGGGAAGTTTTTGAAGATGATCTTGAAGTCGGGCTCTCTGCAGCCAAGGCCACCACCTTCGCCTCCTCGCAGCCCCTGGCCAACAAGTTGTCAAAGGCTCTCAAGGGCCTGGCGGGCACGGTCTCCAATGTTGCGGTAAGTCTTGGAATTGATCTAGCACCAGGACAAAAACGGTGTGTAAAGGGGGGTACCCGCAAATTCCGATGGAGGGCTAAGCAGATGCGCAAACGTCATTTGATTATCCAGCGCTACCGTAGGCAGCTCCCCAATAAGAAATTTCGAGTATGCAAGATTTATACGTGCGGGGTTAGGCCAGGCCTTACTTTCGGGAGCAGTGTTGTCGGCATGTCTGATGCCGAACTTCAGTGTGCTAGGAGGGCCCTGTTGTGTTGTAAAGTTCCCGCCCACCGGGGGCCCTCCCTCACCGCGAAGGTTGTCCTCCATGGGGACCCTGTTTGGAAGGCCAGCGTTGCCCCAGCCATTCAGTGGGCCAACGTGGTTTGGAGGGCTACCACCCAACCCTCGATGGCCTCCCTCTCTGTGCGCGAACTTGCGCGCATCTTCCAGCAGGTGGCCCCTCAGGTCGACGGCATTTTCTCTTGGCGGAGCAGCAAGGGCCCGGTGCACCGCATGCTGATCTCGTTGCACCGCATAGGATGGCGAACCAAGCATTTTTCCTGTTGGGAGGACGACCTGCACAGAGAGGTCGATTTGTTATACTCCTCTCCCGCCATGATTGCCTCGCTTCTGCGCCAAGGTGTGCAGAGGCATCACGAACGGCGCATGGCGCAGCAGCTTGCCGGCGTCTTGGGGGACAGGGTTTGCGTTGACCCCATACGGACTATGGTTTGCACTGTTAGGAGAAGATCCCCAAGAGCAAAATATTGTATCGCGAGCTGTTTTTGCAGCGGGCTCTGGACCCAAGACAGATTTGCGGCTTCCGGGTACCAGAGCGACGGCATGTGTCCACTTTGCGGGCAGCCCGACTCGCCTTTTCACAGAATTTGGAAATGCAGCCACCCTGATGTTTCGCAAGCTCGGGAGGATGCGGCTCTGACTGGGCTTGTTGATGAGGCTTGCGCTTCTAGCCCTGAGGATGTTTTATTTTGGACCAGATTGATTTTTGATCACCCTGCATCGTCATGGCCGCCGCCGTCCTCGGAAATCTCACTTGATTTTCAGGATCTTGACGGCGCCCCTCTTGCGCCGGAGGCCCTGGGGGACCTGCAGGAATGTGATGTGGTTGTAGACGGCTCTTGCTCTAGACATCAAATTCGGGACCTCTCTCGAGCGTCTTACGCGGGCGTGTGTTTAGGGGAAGGCCTCGCAATCCGAGCCAGATTTCAAGGCGTTGTCTGGGATGGTCTTCCACAGACCCCTCAAGCAGGTGAACAGCTAGGACTGGCCATGCTGAGTTGCTTGGCTCGTAGTCCCTGGCAGCCTCACTCTGATTGCCTAGGCGCTGTCAGGCTTCCAAGGTTCGGACCTAATCAGCCAGCTTTCACACCGACATATGTATGCTGGCGCTCGCCGCGCCACCATGCAGCAGGATGGTAATACATTCGTTTGGCCTGCTAAGCACACCCCTGCCCACCGAAGCCTCGAAATTATTGAAGCGTTGCCGATGCATGAAAAGAGGATTGGTCTGGGTAGTAATGATGCCGCGGACCGCCTAGCCAAGCATGCGTTGCTCAAGCATCCTCAGCCCTCCGCGGATGAAGTCGCGAAGGTCGATTTGGTTTTGGTTAAGTGCAGGGCGATTGCGAGGGTCATCGCAGCTACATTGCCGCTCTTCCCCAAAGTGGAGATGAAGCGGACTCCCCGCACACCCAAGCCCAGACGGTATGTTTTTTTGGACAGGTGGCACGATTGGGCTGTTGTGGAGGAGGGGGTTCTGCAATGCACGCACTGCCTTTCGGTCAATTTTGATGGTGAACCATCTATGTTGGGATGCAAGGGCCTTCCAACGTGCTACAAGAAGTTAGCTGGGGCAGAGAGCCGATTTGGGCACCGCCTTTCGGTGGCCATGACCGATCAGTACAAGCCTCTTGTTTTCTGCTTGCTCTGCGGGGCATACACCCAGAAGAGGTGCAAGAACCTGCACAAACCCTGTCCTCCCGCAGCCAGCCATAACGGCCAATACGCTCTGCAGCGAATCCGTCTGGGATTGGATCCCCGCTACGTGTCGCGTGGCAGTGTAGGGCCAGCTCGACGTAGCGATGCTTCAGCCGTTGTATCTTTAGCTGCTTCGGCCGCTTCCAGTGTCTCTCTTGTGCCGCTCCGCCCACTCATCACCAATGACAGGCTGGAGGCCTTGCGTGCTCGGGTGGCCGCTCGGGAGCAGGCCAACTCAGAAAGACATGCCGGACAGGCCGCATGATATGTTTGTTGCTCACGTTACGTTAATGTTCTGCCTCAAGGGCCTACCTGAGAAACAAAACCCACTATTCGCTACCCACTTCATACTACTCCCTGCTCACTACTCCCTACTCCCTACTCCCTACCCCCTACTCACTACTCGCTACTCCCTACTCGTTACTCACTAATCACTACCCACTACTCACTACTGACTACTGACTACTCACTATACACTACGCCCTACTCGCTCCTCACTACTCACTACTCGCTACTCCCTACTCGCTACCCACTACTCACTACCCACTGCCACCACCCACTTCTTTCGATTCATCACTACTCACTACTCACTACTCACTCCGCACTACGTACTACTCAGTACTCAATACTCAGTACTCAGTACTCACTACTCACTACTCCCTACTCCCTACTCCCTACTCACTACTCACTACTCACTACTCACTACTCACTACGCACTCCGCACTACCCCCTACTCACTAATCACTACTCGCCACCCACTACTCACTACCCACTACTCACTACCCACTACTCATTACTCCGTACTCCCTACTCAGTACTCACTACTCGCTACTCGCTACTCACTATTCACTACTCACTACTCGCCACTCACTACTCACTTACCAGTACACACTATTCACTATTCACTACTCACTACTCCCCACTCCCTACTCCCTACTCCTTACTCACCACTCACTACCCACTACTCACTACCCAATACGCACTACTCACTACGCATTAACTCGCTACTCACTACTCACCACTCCCTACTCCCAACACGACGGGGGGGAGGTCCGAACCCCCCCCCTTTCCAGCGCCAAGGGGGAGGGGGGGGGAGGGGGGGGTTCGGGACCCCCTCCTAAGGGGGAGAGGGGGGGGGGGTCCGGACCCCCCCCCCCCCCCTTGAAGGGGGGGAGGGGGTGGAGGGGGTTCTGGACCCCCCCCCCTTTAGTGTACCTATACGACCACCCTTCGGGTGATAAGGAGGTGAGGGGGGGGAGGGACCAACGTCGCACTCGATCGATCTCACTATCGATCTCACTATCGATCTCACAACCGATCTCACTCGATCCATCTCACCATCGAACTCACATTCGGTCTCACTATCGATCTCACTATCGATATCACAATCGATCTCACAATCGATCTCACATTCGGTCTCACTATCGATCTCACAATCGATCTCACATTCGGTCTCACTATCGATCTCACTATCGATATCACAATCGATCTCACAATCGATCTCACATTCGGTCTCACTACCGATATCACAATCGATCTCGCAATCGACGTCATCATCATCATCATCATCATCATCAGCATCATCATCATCATCATCATCATCATCAACATCAACACCATCAACATCATCATCATCATCATCGCCATCATCAACATCATCATCATTACCATCATCATCATCATCACCATCACCATCACCATCACCATCATCATCATCATCATCATCATCATCATCATCATCATCATCATCATCATCATACTCATCATCATCATCAACAACATCATGATCGGGACACCGACGGGACACCGGCGGGACACCGGCGGGACACCGCGCGCCACCGGCCGCCTGGTGGAGAATCATTTGGTCCGGCCGCGCCTCAGCCACAGAGGACACCACCGGGACACCGGCGGGACACCGCGCGCCACCGGCCGCCCGGTGGAGAATCATTTGGTCCGGCCGCGCCTCAGCCACAGGAGACTTTCCTCTCGCCCGCCCACGCAGCTTCGCCTCGCCCGCACGCACGGCACGCACGAACACGAAACCGAAATCGATTTCCCGGTAGGGGGGCTCTCCGTTCCACTTCGATCTCACCCCCTCACCTCCGATTCAGGGAGATCCACTGGCGCACTGTCCATGAGACCCTTCTCCCCCAGGATGCACAAGAACATCCGACAAACACCTAGAGCATGAGGGTACCCTTCCCGAACCGACCTCGATCTTATACCTCGGTCCAACTGTAACTACAGGTACTCAACGGCGCCGATGGTCCATGCCTTCGGCGAGGCTCCCGGCCGAATGCGTGTAATGCCCGCCCCTGGGCTATTTTTCCCCATCGTCGGCTCCGAGCTGCACCCGCTGGCACTCCCACGCGGGGGCGTTAGAGGTAAGTCCTGGCAGGACAGCTATCAGGCTCGATGACGCGGCCATTGAACCAAATCAGGCCAGGTAAACCTGGGATTGAGCCGGATCAGGCGGGTTTGAAACCCGATCATGCGCGCCGATTCTGAATTTAACCTTCCAAGAGCTGCATTCGAATCAGGGTACGGAAGCTCGTGGCACAAATGGGGTTGGAACAAATCGCTCCGAACGGCTCCCAGAAGGAAATGTGAGCACGGGCGGTTCCCCAACACTTCGCCAGGCTAACCCCCCTTCTGCGACCCCCCGGCAAGAGAGCGCCTCGGATAGCTCAAGGGCATCGTGGCCGGGCCAGGGCGGAGCAACTGGGTATGCAGCCCTTCCCTCCCGCGCCCCTTTCTCGCTCGAGAGGAGCAGCCACGCACCCATGCAACACGAGCAGCAGCAAGAGGACGCACCCTCGGGAATGCTCCCTCGGGAGTGCTGCCGCTGCCGTCCGCTGCTGCCAGCCGCCGCCGCTGCTCCCCGCCTGGTCGCCCCCTTGTTGTTGCCCAGCAGGCTAACGCCCTCGATCTTGATCCTGCTCCCCGAGAGGGCCTGCCCGACGCGGCCGGGCAACTCCGCGGCACATTCTGCCAGAAGGCAGGGATGGAGGGAGGGATGGATGGAGGGGGGAAGGAAGGAGGAGTAGAAGGAGGAGGAAGACCAGGAGGAGGAGGAGGGGAAGGAGGAGGAGGAGGAGGAGGAGGAGGAGGAGGAGGAGGAGGAGGAGGAGGAGGAGGAGGAGGAGGAGAAGGAGGACCAGGAGGAGGAGGAGGAGGACCAGGAGGAGGAGGAGGAGGAGGAGGAGGAGGAGGAGGAGAAGGAGCAGGAGGAGGAGAAGGAGCAAGATCAGGAGCATAGGGAGGAGGAGGAGGAGGCGGAGGAGGAGAAGGAGCAGGAGGAGGAGGAGGAGGTGGAGGAACCAAATGGACCTGCCGACGCCGATTCCGTCGCCGTCGCCGCTTCCCGTCAGGAGTCGACGGGCTTTTCTGTGGCGTAGCGCCTCGAACCACTGGTAGCCCTTGATGGTCTTGGGCATGTCGCTCACCTGCGGGCGGGGCTGGAGCTGCAGACGTTGACGGCGCGCACAGAGCGGGTGGCCTTCTTAAACGGAAGGGGTCTCTCGAAGGCCACCTCGGCTTTTCGACGCCTGTTTAAGCCCCCCCGTGCGCTTCTAAGCGTGCCCCTGCCTTCCCCCCATCGCGCCACCCCCCTTGTGCGCGCCGCCAGAGAGGGCGATATCGCTGTCGTTGCCGAAGTCGTCGTCGTTGGGAGGTCGTCGTCCAGGAGCAGGAGGAAGGAAGAATATTGAGGTCTCTCGACTCCGTCTGGCCAGCAAGTTTGACCCTCTTGGGGCTCTCTCGGCGCCGCGCTTGGCTCTGCCTGGGGATCCTGGTCAGAACGCGCCCCAAGACAGGTCTGGGCGGAGGGCGAATGCGGAGGGAGGAATGTACTGAGCGCTCTGCGATCTCTTGCTCCGAGGGTGGTTTTTGAGCTCGCCAGGTTTCTGAAAAAAAGAGGCGGGCGAATGGCTGGTGCGCCCTCCCCACACCAGGGACGTTATGATTTTTTTCATGAGGTAGACTCCCAGCGGACTGGACCCATTCTCTGGGATCATCGTTTACATCCCGAACCGTTTTTGGACGGCTCAGGGGGCCGGTAAGGGCCCCCAGAGGCCGAACATAGCGACAAACTCCTGCTCATCATTTTTCCGTGGCCTGAGGGGGTCTGAGCCTCCTGCTCGCCGCTGCTCGCGGCCGCTTTCTGCGGGAAGGGGGGCCGCTCCCTTCGCGAGCCCTGCTGGGGATCACCGCCGAACTCTCGCGCTGGATGGCTTTAGCGCGAAACGTCCTCGCTCCTGGCGTGGCCAAGGAGCCGTAGACACCGACCCTGGGCCCTGGGTCTGCCCGGCCAGGATCGGTGAGGTGATCCGTTGACGCCACAAGAGCAACGTTTCCATCACGGGCCGTTCTTCTTCAGAGGAGAAAAAACGGAATACACATAAATTTTCGGAACTCCGAACGGATTTCTTGGATCAGCGCTGGGACAGTTCCTGGCGGCGCCTCGGGCGCGGTGCCTGTCGAGCTACGGCCGCCAAGGAGGGGTGCCCAGCGCCGATCCAAGAAATGATCGCGGAGCTCCGACACCTTATGTTTATGCTGGTTTTCCCCAACCATCCTGTGGTGTTGGGTCCTCGTTTTGGAGAGACGGTCCTCCTCTTTTCTTCCCCCTCGTCACCTTCTCACTTTGGCACACCTTTCGCACGCTTCGTGGCCCCGTAGGGAGCCCCACCTGAGGTCCCAGTGGCGCAGGTCGCATGGCGGCGCCGCTCCATTTTGGCACATCCCTCACACGCTCCGTGTTCCCATAGGGAACTCCATCTAAGGTCCCAGTGGCGCAGGTCGCATGGCGGCGCCGCTCTATTTTGGCACATCCCGCACATGCTCCGTGGTCCCATAGGGAGCTCCATCTAACGTTTCAGTGGCGCAGTTCGCACGGCGGCGCTGCCCCATTCTGGCACATGCCTCACACGCTTCGTGGCCTCATAGGGAGCTCCACCTAAGAGCCCCATGGCGCAGTTCGCACGGCAGCGCCGCCCAATCTTGGCACATCCTTCAAACGTTTCGTGGCCCCATCTGGGGGCTCCACCCAAGGGCCCCGCGGCGCAAATCGCACGGTTACGCCGTCCGATTTGGCCCCCCCCATTTCCATTTTGGCACACCCCTCGCGCGTTTCGTGGCGCCACAGGAAATCCCACCTCAGGTCCCACTGTTTGGCCTCGCGCCGCGGACGACCCGCGCGCGTCGCTGTGACCCTCTCGGGGCGACCAGCGCGCGTCGCGGGAACTCAGCGCGGCGCTCTGCCCAGCGCCTCGCTCGCCCGTTGTCGCTATGCCCAGCGGCCAGATCCTTGCCCGCCATCAACCATCTGACTAGCGCTCTTTGCTCCGCACCGCGGACGACCCGCGCGCGTCGTTGGGACTCCCTCGGGGCGACCACCGCGCGTCGCGGGAACTCTGCGCGGCGCTCTGCCCAGCGCCTCGTTCGCCCGTCGTCGCTATGCCCAGCGGCGAGCTCCTTGCCCGCCATCGCCCTTCCAGCTAGCTTTTTTTGCTCCGCGCCGCGGACGACCCGCGCGCGTCGCCGTGACCCCCTCGGGGCGACCAGCGCGCGTCGCGAGAAGTCTGCGCGGCGCTCTGCCCGGCGTCGCTATGCCCAGCGGCCGGATCCTTGACCGCCATCAGTCAGTTAGCTAGCTCTCTTTGCCCCACGCCGCGGACGACCCGCGCGCGTCGCTGGGACGCCTTCGTGGCGACCGGCTCGCGTCGCGGGGACTCCGCGCTGCACTGCGCTTGCAGCCTTGGGGCGCAGGGGCAAGGAGGGGGAAAAACAAGGGAAGGAAGCGGGGGCGATCCTCGTCAGGGGCGTGCCGACATGGGCGTCGCATCGCGCGGGCGCTGCCATCGGGGTTTCCCGGGAAGCCCCCCTGCGGCAGCAGCGCTCAGCGCCGCGAGTACTTAGAACCAGGCGGACCCAATCCGTTCACATTCAGATGCAGTTACACTAGGTGTAGCCGTGCTCGCTTTCATGCAAATAGGCTCACTCGCAAGAAGACCCATTCACAATCGCACCCACTCACGCTCAGACTCGCCCGCTGTCAGTCTCTCGTACTTGCTCAGACTTATCGTCATCGTCTGTGTTGTGTGCCCAACCATACATGTCGGCACGCCTCTTATGCGGTTCGTGGCCCCGTAGGGGGCGCCACCGGCGACCAGATTCACACTTGCGATGAGCACAACTGCACATGGTTGGGTTCTTCGCCAGGCTAATTCTGATTCGATTCTTGGGCGGTCGTGGATTGCCTTTCTTCTTGGACGGCCCTGGGGGTCCCATGGGGGGCCTCGCGGAAGCCCGAAAACGGCGAAGAACCTCCCCCAGGGGCACGTGCCCTCGGAAGCTACAGGGGGGAAGATAGGGGGCAACATATTTTCCTGAATTTTGGAAAATTATGAATCCATAAAATCCCCGCGACCACCCTGGCGCTCCGCGTTCAGGGGCAACTCCCCTTTTGGCGTCAGGCCACGCCTGCCACGCCCTGCGACCCTGGCGTGGATAGAGGGTGCGCTCAGGGACCACCCCCTGCGCACCCTCTCCGCGTCGCGAAAGTGGCCCCGCGACAGCCCCAAGGCGGGTCCAGGTGGCCGAGGAGACTCCCGAGGAGGCCCTCCCAAAGCCAGAAGCCTACCATAACCTAGAGGAAATGCATGATGTTGGCCTTCTCGCCCAAGACAGGCCCAAGAGAGGATGGTCTCAAGACGGCCCAAAGAGCGCCCAAGAGAGTTCCAAACAACACTCCAAGAGGGCCCCAAGAGGCGGCTTTGGGGGCTCCGGAGGGGCGGCCCTCCTGAAAGACCCCCCCCCTTGATCGCTATTCTCCAAGATGGTCCCAAGAAGGCCTCGAATGATACAAGAAGGCGCCAAGAGGGCCCCAAGATGGCCCAAAGATGCGCCCACTGGGGACCCAACAGGCTTCCAGGACGCCTCCATGAGGCCCCCAGGACATCTGCACGCATACAGCTTGGACGTATTTACCAACGCAAGCGCCTGCGTGCGTGTGAATACATTATCAAAACATACATTTGTGCATATATATATATATAAAAATATATATGTATATATATGATGATAGAATATCCCATTGTAGATCGATGATCTCTCAAGAAGCGCACAAGCTTCCTCGGGCCAAAATGGCCTGCGGGTCACGATCTGGCCTCTTCGAATTTCCTTCCGGCCAGACGCCTGCGGGTCATGATCACTATCGAGATGCTTCTCGTGAGCCTACCCTGCACTCTGCAACGCCGTGCTAGTCCACGCCAGATCGGGAATTAAACACTCCTCCTCTCGGCCAGGACTTGGGTTGAGCCGGGGACTGGTCGAGCAAAACCAAACTCGAAAGACGAAACATGACAATGGCCCTGGGCTCGGTCTTTCCCAGGCACGGGCACTCTGAAACAATCATTTTCAGATCTCTGAAACAGTCCTGCACAACGAAGGCGTTGCCTCGCTGAAAGAATTCAACTCGCAAGTTTCCTCAGTGCTCGCACCGAGAAGCCTACCCCTCGGTAGTGGAGCGCGGCGATCCCGGTCACCTCGATGAGGAAAGAAGACCCGCAGATTGACAATGTCTGTCAAGCAGAACTCCGCTCACCGGCTTGGTCGCCAAGTCCGCCAGGTTCTTCGAAGTGTGAACCTTCTGCACCTTCAGGTCCCGGTCTTGAGCCCGCTCTGGCACCCAAAGGAACCTCGTCTGGATGTGCCTGGTCCTCTGCCCAACTCCCAGACGATCTGCCAGGCTCCCTGCGGTGGTGCTGTCACTCAGCACTAGAGCCTCCATGTGGTCGCCGAAGTCCTCGTAGATGGCCTTCAGCATCAACGCGACCGCACCTCCCTTGACCACTGCGTAGAACTCCGCCTCGCCGACGCTCAGGGAGGTGAGGCTCTGCAGTGTACTGCTGCCCTTGATCAGGTGCGATCCCACCATGGCCACCAGTCCTGTCGTTGACTTCCTGGTGATGGGATCTCCTGCAAAGTCACTGTCCACGTACACCTTGATCTTGTTCACCGGCGCCTGCATGCGGTACCGGATCGAGGCTCTCGGTCTGCCTGCCAGGTAACGAGCAACCCTCTTTAGCGGCTGCCAGTCGAACTCGGTCGGCCCAGCCATCCGCTGCGCCGAAGTCTTCGCACTCTCCACCAAGTCCAGCCTGTCCTGTGCCAACTAGCTTAGCCTCATGCACACCGACCGGTAACGAGTAGTCTCACTCGCGATCAGCTTCTTGCCCTTGATCCCCTCGAGAATCGTCGTGCCCATGAGCTTCTCCCTCGGCGTGCTGACCGACTTGGTGGCCTCCGTGCAACCAGTCTCTGCCAAGATCATCTTCGCGTGCCTCGGGTCGGGCTCGATCTCGATGTACTCGCCCCTGGTGTCCTTGCCTCTCCTCACGATCCTGTTGAACAACTGCAAGCTCTCGTTGTCGCCCTCATCGAAGCCCAGGGTGCCCATCATCTTGCTCGGGTACTTCGAAGACAACAGCTTGTCCACGTGCTCCAGTCCATCCACGTCCGACAACACTACGAAATCGCCCCCATGGACTGCCATGCGGATGTCACCCGCCGGGTTGAAGAACAAGGCTGCGTTGTGCTTGCCCCTCTTGAAACCACCTTCACTCGAGCAGCACAAGTCCACGTAGTCCAACTGCCAGAGATGCGAAGCATCCTGAGTGCCGTACATCGACTTCACCAATCGCCCCAGCATCTTCTCGCCATAGCGTTGACGATCCTCAGCTGGAAGCTTGACGTAGGCCAACCTTTGCACCTTGCCCATGAAGTGCGCCCTGGAGATGTCATAATGCCTTAACTTCAAGCGCTTGCCTGACTTGGCAACACCTCCAGTCATCATCCTGGACACCGGCACCTTCACGGCCTCCAGCAGCGGCATCGCAGAGAACAGCTGCGCCGCCGGTAGTGCCCTCTGAACCTTGCCGTCCTTCTTCGTCTTGAACTCCCTCACGCACAGCCTGGACCTGATCTTCTGCTAATTCGGGTCCATGGACTTGTCCGTGTCCACCCACAGGACGTCAAGTGGTCGTACTCCTGCGTCTCGAGCCTCCTGCTCCGGAACAATGTCGTAGACCCCTTCGCCGTGGATCCAGCTGATCTCCTCCTGGCGCGCCGCCAGAACCTTATCGGTCGAAAGAAACCCGCCATTGACATCATCCCAGAAGCCTCCACCACTCTCGAGCATCTCCATGTACTCCGTCGGCATCTCGGGAACCGGCCCCGCGATCTCCTCCACTGTGTTGAGCTCTCCATCCTTCTTCAGCTGCCTCCGAAGTGCCCTCAACACAGCACTGACGAACCTCGGAGGGTACTTCGCCGCAAAGTGCGCCACTCCGCCCTTGAGCTTGGTGTGCCGATGAAGATCGCCCCCAACCAGATTGGAGCACTTGCCATTCAGCTCGTACCAGATCTCCTCACTGTTGGTGACGAAGCCGCTCTCCTTCCGCACGTACTCGGGGACGCCATCACTCTCGTCCCGATACTTTTCCGGCAACTGCAGCCCGTGCCGACACATCGGCCCCTGCGCGTAGTAGACGCCCTCGCGAGACATGAGCTCCTCCATGTCCTGCTCCTTCCAAGAAGTCGCCGTCGCCGGGTGTTCGTGTAGGAAATACCTCCCAGCATCATGCTGCTTGTTGTGCGCCTTGATCGCAACTTGCAGCCCCTCACGTCCTTCTCGAAGTCTCTCGGCCCTGACCTTCTCGTCGGTCGTGGTCCTGTGCAGGTGCTGCAACTGGCTGAACGGGTCACACCTCGGGCTTCCCGTGAGCAGCCAGGGCTGGTCCCTCTCAATGGTATCGTCCAGCTCCGCCTGGTCCTCCTTGCGCAGTAAGTCCCAGCCGACTCCATCGGTCGGCCTGCGCGTAGAGAGATTCACTGCTACTCCAGGTCTGAGTCCATGTCTCTTCGCCGCCTCCGTGAACCTTGGCGGCGAGAAAATCTCCATCGCGTCCACTGCTCCTAGATCCACCTCAACATCTTCCTTGCCACCCTCCATGAAGTCCAGCGCGTTCAGCGCCACGAGCTCGCCCTTCAGCTCATCCAGCTCCTGGAGGTCCAGGTTGCCCATCTCGTCGAGCCTGTGCCAGATCGCAAGCTCCTGCATGTACCTCGAGTCCTGGCCTCTCATCGGTACCACCAGATCCATGGCCGATCTGGGGACGTCTGCGTCGACATGTCCCGCTCCAGCGACTCGTGGCACCGTTCCTCCTGCCGGCCCGGCCGTCGCGGCCGGCCCAGCGATGGCGGGGGGCCCATCCGTGGCGGACGGCCCCGCCGAGCTCGAAGAACCTCCCTGCAGGCGAACTCCCATGACCTCAACGTCCGGCTCCGCGCGCTGCTCCTTCGACGGTGGCTCTCCTCCTCCCTCACTCGGGCCCTTCAAGCCCCGAGTTGGCTTAGCTCTCGAGCCGGGTCGCTCCCCTTCAGGATCTCCAGCTCGCCTCTTCGCCTCGATCGCGTCCTGCGGTGCTCGAAGCGTCTCTCGCGGCACCTCTCTTGCCTCTTGCCGTTCTCCGGCGACGCGTCCGTCGCCATCTCCTTCAGCGCGCATATGTGTGTCTCCTTCACCCGCCGGCGCAGGCTGCGCCGCGGGTCCCGCTGCAGCCTCTCCTGCTGGACCTGCCGGGTGGGCTGCCACCCGCTGCCTGTAGGCGTCCATCCTCGCGCGTCCTTCCAGGCTCCTCTCCAGCAGCTCTCGGATCCGCTCTCTGCACTCATCGCTGTGCGTCCTCCTCGCCTTGCCATGGATGGCGATCGACTCGCATCCTGGACAATTGGGCGTTGCTCCATGAGACTCAATGTCCGCGGTCATGACATAGAATCTTCTCGGCGCAACCTCTGGCGCCCTTTCCCCCACCGGTGGGATCGGAAGGGGCTCTCCTTTGCCCTCCTTGTCCGCGGTCACCTTCTTCTCCAGCTTCTTCTCCTTGGCCATCATCTCCCAGGGCGTCCCACACAGGTCATCCCAGCCAGTTCTGTCCCACGCATCCTCGAAAGTCTGCCTCGTCCACGATTTGCCACGAACCACTCCTTTGTCCGTCATGCACAACGTTGCCCCGGTCCAGTCGTGGTGACCCACGAACCTGCCCTGAGTCATCCTGCTGGCGTAGCTGATGCCTCCGTCCTCTCCGATGCGGCGGAACCAAACCTTCTCGCCAAACTGCGCCAACGGCTTACGCCACCGGCGGCCCGTCCTCCTCAGCTCCGAGGTCTTGCCGTCAGGCCCGATCCGCATCTTGCTGACGGCCTGCGCAGCGTACCTAGGCAGCCAGCTCAGGATGGGGTGGTCGTCCTCAACTCTCACCCCTCTCTTCAGCTCCATGGCAACACGCAGCGCGCGACACATCCACTTGACTTCTCTCACCGCCATCTCCGCCATACCATTGGCTCGGTGATCCCCCTCAGGCGGCCCCTGAGGCACGATCTCAACACCGACGACGCTCTCCTCGACTTTCTTCTGAAGCGCCTTGGTGGACGCCTCGTTGTCGCACTTGAGGATCAGCCTCCGGTAGCCCAGGTCGCGGACGAAGCCCACCATGAAGGCCACCGCGTAGGCGTTCACGCCCTTTGCCTCCACACACGTCGCCGCCGTATGCCCGAACCTGGTCTCTCGCACCACCAAGATCGGATATGTGTCTGCACCTTCCTGCGTCATGAAGCCGCAGTCGAAGGCCACGATCGGCACTTGAACCTCGCCAGCCTCCGGGTCCAAATCGAACCCCCTGCGACATTGTGCGCCCAATCCTCGTCCTTCACGGCATGCCTTACACCAAGATCGAAAAACTGCGTGGGCCTGGTCTTCATGCTCCTCGACTTCTCTCGCCGTAGGCATCTTGGGATGTCGTCGACGAGGTACCTCTTGTGCCTCGGCTTCCTCCTCGTCCTTGTCTGCCTCCTCCTGGGCAGGACCTCCTGGCGGAATCTCACCGCCGCCCGGTGCTGCTCCCGCCGCAGATGGGCCCGGGTCTCCCATCGCGGCGTCATCCAATGGACTTGCGGGCGCGACGGCGCCCTGCCCGAGCCGTTTCCCTGGCTCGAGCTCCCCTGCGTGGTCTTCTCGGTCTTGACGGTGATCGCCGAGACCTCCTTCTGCATGTAATAGGGGAATCAGGTCGCTGCTGCCATGCCAGTCGACGCACTTCGTGATGGCCTCCTCGATCTCCTGGCCAATCTTCGAGTCCTTCGGGATGATCCAACCGCCATCCGCCGTCATGTAGAAGTTCTGCCGGCCATTCGTCGCCATCTTGCCCGCGGAGCACAGCACCTTGTGGACCCCGCTGAGCCGGCCCCTCAACGATCGCCAACGGCCATTCTCGTCGTAGCCAAGGAATTCCCAGGGCCCGCCATCTGGAATGCACTCGCCGCTCGCCGTCTTGCACAGGCTGCCATTGCCAGAGCTCTCTGGCTCGAAGCCCAGCGGGAAGGTGGTCACCCCAGCACCCGAGTCCAGGTTCATCTTGACCCACTCGTACCCGCTGCCCTCGATCGCACAGATGTCCTCCGGCTTCTCGGGCTTCCACTCCTCGAAGCTGCCCAAGGTCAAAGCACCCATCGACCAGACACCTTCTCCAGTCCAGCCTCCTTCGTCCCAGCTCTGCTCCTCCTGTCATTGCTCGGATGGTGGCGGCCACGACTCTCCTCCTGCATTGGCGTCATCCTCAAGACCGCTGGCATGAGGGCGTCGAGCCTGAGCACCTTTCTTGCCGTTCTTGTCGCCCTCCTTGCCCGTGCCCTTGTTGTCGGTCTTGCCCTCGCCCTTGCCGCCGCCTTGTTCCCCCCTTGGACGATGGAGCAGCAGCTCCTCCATTCCAACCTCCACGGCCTCGACCTTTGGAGTCCTTACCCTGGCTGGACTTGCTCTTCTTGCAGTCCCTCGCGAAGTGGTTGCCGCCGCAGTTGCAGCAGCCTCCCTTTGGTCCTTTCTTACCCTTCAGCGAGTTGATGCTTAGCGCCGAGGTGTCCATTGCATCGGGGTCGCTGGCCTGGTTGTCGCTCGGCTTCTTGTCCCTGATGCGAAGTCCAGTCTTCGCCGCCACGTATGTGACCACCTCAAGCCTTGCTTGATCGTAAGTCTGCAATCTGTTGGCATTCATAATCAAGTGTGTCTCCAACTCTTCCGGCACCAATGCCTCGAACCCGGCGAGCTTCAGCTCGTCATCCATGACATGGCCAACCTTCTTCTCGTACCGGGAGACGAAGTTCTCCCAGCGCTCGATCGACGCCTGCAGATCGTCGATCTTGCTCCTTCCTGGGTTCAAGATCGTTCGGAGGAGATTCCTCTTGCGGCCTCCCGTCGCGGGGTCGAACCGCTTCTGAAGTCGGCGCCAAGCCTCGTAGGGACTCTTCTTTGAATTCTTCACGATGCTCAGCGACTCGCCCTCAGTCAACTGCATCAGCGCCGTGTACAGCTGGTGGCCGATCGCCTCCAGCTGCGGGACCCTCCTGTCCGGGTCGATCTGGTCCTCTCCGAACTCAGCCCTGATCATGTCCATGTCGATCTCACCACCTTGATCCGCACTCCACTCAAGAAGGCGCTCCGCCTCTGGGCGCACGCCGCTGAAAAATGATTCCGCCTTCTGCGCCCAACTTTGAAACTCGTCTTCCTTGTTGTTGAAGACTTTAGGCCTGCCCAGGCCCCTCGTGTCCACAAGCGTCGGCCGCTCCCGATGCGCCTGGGCCTGGGCGAGCTCCCTGATGGCGGCCACCGCGTCCGCCATTTCCACTCCAACTTGTTGTTGCTGCTGGATCGCCAGCAACTGCTGCGTCAGCTGTGCGACTTGCCCTTGCAACTGCTGGACAACCTGCTCCATGCTGTCAGGACCCCTTCACCTTGATCTTGCTGTTGGAGGCGTGGTATGCCCCCATGGTGTCGGGCTCCTCCGTCCGACTCTCGCGCGCCAGGAGTCCAGCTTCACGCTACCATGATGATAGAAAATCCCATTGTAGATCGATGATCTCTCAAGAAGCGCACAAGCTTCCTCGGGCCAAAATGGCCTGCGGGTCGCGATCTGGCCTCTTCGAATTTCCTTCCGGCCAGACGCCTGCGGGTCATGATCACTATCGAGATGCTTCTCGTGAGCCTACCCTGCACTCTGCAACACCGTGCTAGTCCACACCAGATCGGGAATTAAACAATATATGTATATATACACGTGTATATATATATATATATAATCGCATCGTTCTGTCTCCGTGGAATGGTTTCCAAGGTGGGACAATTAAACTGCATTTTACTCGGCGGTGAATTACTGGCAGTCGGGACCCGGGGGAGGGGAAGGGGTGGGTTATCACTTTCAACAAGTTTTGGACATGAGCCAGGCCCCCCCGAGGCCCGAAGTCGAAGAAAAACACCGGGATTGAAACAATCATACTATCGGAGATCTGGACAACCCATCCCCCTCTACTGTTGCCCCTGAGGGCCCTTTCCCCTTCGTGGCGGAGACGCCACGTCACCGCCGCCGCCCCGCCGCCCTTGAGATCCCGAAACGGTGCGGTGACAGACCGTGCGGTGACCTCGGAATCGTCAAAGACCTCACCGCACAGTCCGTCGCTGGGGACCCTGGAAGCATCAATCAGAGCGACCCAAGTCCCGAAACCGCGCGGCAATCTGAATCCCCACTGACTCACTACACCGCACCCTGAGACCCGGGATTACGGAAAATTGATCATCATTTTGCGGCAGCTGTAGAAACGGATCGATCTGTGATGGTCCCAGAGCCCGAAACAAGGCAAAATTGCAAATTGCGAACAACCTGCGACGCCAAGATCTCAGGGGACTCATCACACGAAGCGGCCACCACACCGTTTGTAGAGGCCTTCCAGGGTCGGAGCAGATTGTGTCGGAGGATCGCGCCGCATCGCCGATGCATCGCCGGTGCATCGGCGATGCATCGGAGGCGTCGGCGTGGAGAAAATCAGGCTCCACATCGAGCTGCATCGCCGATGCATCGGCGATGCGGCACGATCCTCCTACCCCATCCACTCCGGCCCCATCTGAGCGACGAGAAGAAACGGGTCTGACGCGAGATGGCATAGCGACCGTATGCCGCGGCTTACGCGGGCTGCCAGCGCGGCACCCCACGTTGGAGACGCGGGGCGCCTGCGCGCGACCTTGCGCGCAGCTTGCGCGCCAATGTCGGTACAGACGACCCCGTTCTTCCGCGTCGCTCATCTGGGAGGCCTAGGATTCCGGGGCCTTCTTAGCATGGTGGAACGAGTCCTGAAGGAAACGGGTCCTGGACCATGGGGCCTCCCCCCAGGACGAACTCTTCATCCCGAGTCCTTTTCTGACAGTCCCGAGACCCGTGGAGGGCCCCGGGAAGCCCAAAAAGGTGAAAAGCCTCAGGACCCGTTTGCCCCAGGACCCGTTTCCGCCATGGGGGCCCCCGCCGCCCTTGGACAAGGCACGGCCCGAAGGCGCGGATCGCCCCGACAGTGCGCTCGCTCTTGTCGTCCGGCATGGGCGCAGAGCGCGCGCCCCCGCCGGGCGGGCGCGGCCGCGCGGTGGCTGCCCCCGGCCGCGGCGCCCTCCCAGCGCCCGCTGCCCCGGCCGGGGGCCTGGGCACAGCCCAGGGGGGAGGCGGCCAAGGCTAGACCTGAGCGGTATTTTCCGTGTTCGTTTCGTTTTCCTTTTCCCTCGCTTTGTCTTCGCCCCGCCTGTGCGCTAAAACGAAATCGAAACGAAAAGGGCCAATGAAATTGCCAAAACGGTCTAGATGATGTTAAGATCGCTTGGGGCGCTTTGTGAGCTTGCTTTTGACTTTAGATGTTCTTGCAGATGTTGGTTGTTGTTGTGTGTGCCTTTCGCAGAAGGTCATTTTTTGTTTCCGTTGTCGGATTATCGTTCGCGCCGATCTCGGATCGGCTCGGTTCCGTTATGTGCATCATTTTTTTGTTTGGGGTGGTGCTGGTGGTAAAAAAGAAAAGAATTGAACCGCGTACCCAGCGATCTTGACATCAATTACGTGGGGGCGTGCCAATTGTTTCCCTCCCCTTCGACAATCATGCGTGCAAGCCTCTGTAACAGCAGGGTGCGCATGGCACGGGATGCCTCGTGGAGGCGGTGTGCATGCAAATCAAGCGCCAGCGGTAACACAGCTTAAACACAAGTGTGATGGCGGGGGCAAGAGCAGTCAGCATCGACTCGGGAAACCTGGTCGAGTCTCAGATCTCCGACGATGTGTTTATTCAGTCATGGCGTTTCTCCTAGATTTCGGCGCTCGATGGCCGCTTTCGGGCCTGGGGCCCCAGGGCAGGAAAACTCGCCCATGGGCATGGGGAAGCGGTCGGGACAATCGGGTCGGCTGCGCCAAGGATGCACAACATCACCCTGCGAACACCGGGCCGCATCAGATCGTCGGAAAATCGGAATGGGGTCAGAGCACGCCGGCCGAAATGCATTCCTATGCGCTAGGCAACAGGCGAGGCTGCAACGGGGGTGCCTGGGGCGGCAGGCGTTATGTTGAATATTGGGTGGGTGGGTGGCGGGTTTGGGGCCACATAGCGCGCGTTATGGGTTTGAGTCAATACATTGCAGCTCGAGGAAGATGAGGGTGAGGATGAACTGGAGGACGACAAAGATGGAGAGACAGAACGGGGGCGGTGGTTGGGAGACCAACAGGAAACGACCCACTGGGCGAACTAGTAGGTGCGGAGTGCTCTCTGGAATTGGATGAACACCACGGAAGCCCCGAGTGTCCAAACCCCATGGGGTGGCGGGTGGAACGAGTCGGGCTTATTTGGAAATCAAGGCGACCGCTCTTTGCGGGTCCAGGGTCCAGCTTCCAGCTCCAGAACCCTCGCCAAACTGCTTTTCCTTAGCTACTTCAAACAACGGGGAAAGCAGTGGCCTGAGAGCAAGAACTATACCTCCTTGCAATTTCGGAGGCCCCCGACTGGCCGTCGAAGCCACGCCGGTGTGTCTGTCCCACACATTGCCCCCGAGAGTGGTGGTCCCTGCGCCGCATCCTGGAACTGCGACTCAAAGTCGTTTCCCCACGGCCCACAAGAGCAGAGCGGCGAGCAGAACAAAGAGACGTACCTAGGCCTCCAACGGATTGTTTTTGAAGCGGGCCCGAGAGATCTCGACTCCATGCCGGCGGACAAGATTTCGTCCCATGCCAATGTTCTGTGGTCCCGAGCCCCGAACACAGCCCCGGGAGTTCGAAATGCCTGGATTAGCACACATCAATCTGCACTATGTCTGGGGATCAGACGATGATTCCCAGGGAAAGAGGGCAGCCACCAAAGGGGTTCGCAAATCATGGCCGGCATGTGCACGGACGAGGGGGGAGCGTGGAAGGAATTGTAGAAGAAGAAGAAGAAGACGAGTGGATCAACTCTGAAGAGATATCACAGTTCCCGCAATGATACTAGTACCCACCCACTCTAGTCATTACCTCCCTCGCAAACGCCCCAGACCTCCGATGTTTTGATTTTTCAATGCGGAGCCCCTGGAGCTCTGGACCGACTCCCAAAGACCAACTTTTCGTCCAAAGTAGTTCTTGACGGTCCTGGGGCCCAGCGAGGACCCCAGATGCCGAAGATAGAAAACCTCCTTGAACTTTTCAATAATTATGTTGGAGGTCTGGGGCCCCCGAGATCCCAGGCTGGGCGCCGGCTGGCACTTTTCTGCTGGGCCGCGCACGTCATCTTGGAGGGCGCGTGAGGACGCGCGCCGCTCGCGCGTAGCCCCCAGTCAGCCTTCTGGACGACTCGACTGCACTTATCTCGAATCGCCGACCCACTCTGCGTCTCTCTCTTCTCCTCCCCTCCCCTCCCTCCTGCCCTCGTGTCCTTTCTGTCCCTCCCTGTCCTGCTGCCCCCTTTCCTTCCGTCCTACCTCTCCGCCCTCCTCCTGTCTCTCGTTTCTGTGACCAGCCCGCGTCTGTACTCTAGTGGCGCTTCTCTGCTTTGGTTGCCAAGCGCAGTCTTGCTCACGCGTCTGCTTGACGTAAGCCTTCCTTCGACCCGCTCCCCCGGGGTCAGACAGGGGCAAACGCGCGAACACGTTCGTCGCAGCCTGGAGGATTCCAAAAGGGTTCAAGGCAGAAAGGGTTGGGCCGACCCCCTGCGTGCAACCCCTTCACCCAGGGCTGGACATGAGGTGAAACGCAAATCATCGGCCCATCTCCCTCTGCCCTAACCCCTCTGAGACCCTGCAGGCAGAAAAACAAAATGACCACCTGTGAGACCCTGCAAGCAGACAAAATGACCACCCATTGAGCTCGGACCGGACCGGCCGCGCCAGGATGCACAACAACGCCACGCACACTTCGGGCCGCATCGGATCGCCGGAACATCGGAACCGAATCGGATCGGGCTGGCTGGAATCGATACCGAATCGGACCCACTTTCCCCGGGCCCCGGGGGCGGCTTTCCTCCCAGGGCTCTCTCTCGAAAGCTCTGGCGCCCAGAAACGGCGCCCGATCCGGGACCGAAAGGGGCGAAAAAGACCCAGCGCGTTACAGCAGGCACCATATGTGATGAGAAGTTTTGGCGCAGGGAAACAAGGTAAAACGAAACCGCGACAGAGACAACATATGACAAACTCGATCGACGATCTGCGAGAAAATGTATCGGGCACCACGGCCTTCGCAGACCGTTCTGGAGCGCTGTGAAAGGTTTTCGGGGCGCTCTGGAACGGATTATCCTTGTCCCAACCCCGCCCATAACGGGCAAACTTGTCGTCCACAGTCAGTTTTCCCGAGGCGCTTTCCAAATTGAGGGGGTCTACATGGGTGGCGAAGAAAAACCCGAAGATGTCCGTAGGGCCACGTTTGGGCCCCAGCTGGCCCCCAAATGGATCATAAATGGCCCCTTTGGGTTTGTTCCTCCCTCCCGGTTGAAAGTACCTTCATTACCCAAACGTCAGCCGATTTAGTGTTGAAATCCCCGGCCCCTGAGGACCCCACCCTTCCCTGGGGGTGGTTATTCGCCCTGGTTTTTTTGTCATAGTCCACAGGCCCAGTAATGGGCACCAGAAACCGAAATCCAGCAACAAACTCCGGAGTGAAATTGCTCCCGAATTCATCTGCTCCTCATTGTCATCTTTGTGAATGCGGGGCTCTCTCTCTCTCTCTCTCTCTCTCTGTTATCGTCGCCTTTCTCATGTCCGCCCTAGCGGAGGTCCTTCCTCCGTCCCCCGGGTCTGCATCCTCGTCGTCATCCTGGTCCCTCTCCCCCGTTCACCTCGTCCCCGACCTCGTGTGTAAAGCGCGCGTGAGTCGATTTTCCTCCGCGTCGTCGCCGCTTCTGCCAGCGTGCGCGCGTTCTCCGATAAACGGATCGCGCAGCCGTCGGGGCAACCACGCGGGCCAGGCCGTTGGGACAACTGCGCGAACCGCAGGGGCGCGTGGGCAAACCGTTGGGACAACCCCGCAGTTTTCGAGCTAGTCGCGGCAAGCTCAACCGGGAGGCAACGCGAAACCTAGCTCTGCCGCCAGCTGCTTCGCCTCAATCCTGGAATTCACCGCTGTCTTGCCGAACTTCCAGAACGCCTCCCGCAAGGACGCCTGCGGCCCGCGCTCCAGGAATTCTCGCGCGGGCGGCTTGGGGATCAGCATGTTCCGCATACACGTGGAGGAAGGACTTCCTCCATACTCCAGCTCGAACAGGCCGCAAAAAGACAAAAACAGGATTACGATGGCCCGTCGGATTCGTCACATGAGATGCGGGCCCCATAGAGAGGGGGTATCCGCCTGAGACTTCCTCGCAATCCACTCACAAACGAAGCGCCTTGGGGCGCCCAAGTGCTATGTTTGCTTTGGTGCGCCGATGGCCCGCCCTGGTTTCGAACATCAAACGCGATACCATTACCCGAGTTTCTTGATAAACGTCGGGTGGGCGTCGCCCCCGCCGATTGCCCCACATCGACCCCCGTCGCGGGCAACCACCGCGCGCCGAAGGCGCTCCGACCCCCGTCGCGGCGCGACGACGAGGCGAAGTTGACCCCCGTCGGGGGGGTACCCCGAGAAACTGTCAGATCACAGCCGGTCGAGTGAGATCCCGACGGAACGGCTCAGATCACAACCGCCAAGCGCAGCTGGGACGGGTGATATCCCAACCGCTCCAAGGAAATCCTCCGGTCATCTGAGAGCCTCTGAGAGATCCTGAGAAATCCTGAAAGATTCTGAAAGATCCTGACAGATCCTGCAAGATTCTGAGAGATTCTGAAAGATTCTGAAGGATTCTCACAGATTCTGACAGATGCTGTAAGATTATGAGAGATTCTGTCGAATTCTGAAAGATTCGGAAGGATCATGAAAAATTTTGAAAGACTCTGACAGGTTCTGAGAGATCCTGAGAGATTCCGAAATATTCTGAAATCCGCCGACCCTGTCGGCGTGTGGAAGAGGCTTCTCCGTCTGTTCCCTCCTCGGCGAAATGGAGCAACGTCGTAATTGAGTCGAAGGGAAGCCCCTTCCCTTTGATCCCTTCCCCGCGGGGGGGGGGTCCCGGGGTTGGTCCTGGGTTTTTACGCCGCCCCCCGGGGTGGGCCCCGGGGGAGGGTCTCGGGTTTTTGCGCCGCCCCCCCGGGGAATCCCGGAGCCCAAAAAAG